TGCAGCTCATCATTTTTATCTAGTGCACAGTTTGACTTTATCATTCATCGGCGGTTATGTTGGCCTTTTCGAATGTTTTTCTTTGGACTGGAAGTGAAAATTCCATCAGGAGAAACAAATCTTCTGGGGTTATAAGAATTTCCTTTCCTCGCATGAATATATCTCTCTGTCGGAAAAGAATGTGGGTGTGATTGCGGGTTCTTTCATACTTTGTGTGACCCATTGTCGCTTTTGTTGCAAAACGTATGATACTTGAGTGGAAATCAGTCTTTTCTTTTCTTTTTTTTTTTTGTTTTTTGTTTTTGAGTGAGACAAGATTTCCAGATATTCAATTCAACTTTAGTTCGAACAAAAGTAGAAGTGAAACCAGTAGTTATTGTATTCAAGTATTTTATTTTTATGGAAGGCGTTTCTATGGTAAAACTCATTCTTTCCAATCACAAAAATAATATGAACTCGCAGTTCCTCACTGATGTGCTATGGGTGTTTTCCACAATATGATTTCCAAGGTACTTGGGAATCCTTAAAGAGATGGATCTCTGCCTTTATTTGTGCAGCACTGTTTCCAATAACAGAAACTACAGACTTTTTCATGCTGTATTACGTCATAATCGCAGAGCATTCCTAGTTGCAATCTCTTGACTGCTGCTTTCTCTTAGAATTACCGATCATAACTAAAAGCTACCGAAAATAACCCTTAAATTAAAAAAAAAAAAATGCTGTCCATAAGCCACACGCACTTTCGCGTTCCCTTTTTCTCTAAAGCTGTGTGGTGCAAAAGGCAGTTTGTTGCTAGATGGAAGGGTCTATAGACATTTCCACTACAGCTTTGCGGTGTGGAAGCTATTGAAGCTGGTCCCATAGGCATGTTAATGCACTACAATGATTCCCAGACGTTTAGTGTTTTATCTTCAAGCCACAGGCGTTTGTATTTGCATACACACTCACGGAGCTGATATACATGCTTTTCATTATTAGCAGTAGCTGTGAGATTGTCAGTGGAATTATAGAAGACATAATCATTTTGGCTTCAGTCAGGCCACAATATGATAAGTCCAAAAAAACGAAGCAGTGTTAGCACTGTTGTCTCACAGCAAGCAGGTCCTGAGTTCAACTCCAACACCATCTGGCCAGGCTGTGTTACTGTTCAGGAAATAAAAAGATGAAAACACCTATCCAAACGTGTTTTTACCATAACTTTCAAAGGCATTGTTCAGGTAAGCGGAATCATGCAGGATTTGGGGCTTACTTTGGCTTATGTTGTCTTATGATATGCACCTTTAATACGCTTGTTTATCCAGTCGTTTCTCTGTTTAGAAATTATTCAACTTGTGTCCTAAGCATGTGCTAGACACACCTAGTTCGGGGATCATTCAATCACGCTTCTAAGGCATTGCTCTGGAAAAGAATGACTAACAAGAGGGAAAGAATGGTAAACAGTGAATTCATGTTTGTCTTTGATGTTCATGAGGTACTTGTGGTAGTTGTGATCGAGAGATTTTGACTCTTCTTTGTTGCTGTGTAAAAAGGCTTGAATAAACTTTGACCTCTTGGTTTATCACCCGTCCACAGCAAAGGGCTGAGCCTAGATTCTAAGTTTAAAGCATAATCTGGAAAAAAAACGGTGGATTGGGTTTTACTGCAAACTATAAAACTTGTGTTATTGAAAGGATAAAAAGAAGATTAGATGAAAACAGCGGTCGCTCTTTAAACTTCTCCAAACAATATTCAGCTTTGATAGCATGGTGGGGTGCTTCCTGCTGGTTGCTGTCCTGTCTTTGCTTGCCAAATGTTTTTCCACTTGATGGGTCACCCACTGTGCAGTCAAGTCATCCGTCATCAGAACCCAAAACCACGGGATGTAATGAAATGAGATGCAGATGAGCTCGTTTAAGGCGGTGTAGATTGTAAAGCTGTATTCGATTAGTTGCAAAGAACTCGAGAACGAGAGCGTCAGCTGCACTCAGTTGCGACAGATGCGTGTTATTGAAAACTTTGTTCTTTTATTTAACAAAATACATAATTTATACAAAATACTTTGCTGGTTAGTGCATATAAATTCACTGTACATATACAATTATTAAACCTAGAATTAACATTTATATTTATGGGGATCTGTCTTGCATATTAGTAAGGGAACGTAAATATATTTATACTGTGTACATGCAATTTTGTATATAAGTTTACAAAAAAATAGACAAATATTTCGAGTCTTAAATAGTAAAGGTGCTGGTGTCTTGTTCTTCTGAATCCGACTGGGATTGGGTTTGATTACACGCTTGGAGCGCAATCTCCACGGGCTCTTCGTTGACGTGTCTCTGGTGCCTTCCAAGTCGCTGTCCAAGGTGTTTGGCAGTCTTTAGAACGTGACTCCTGAAGGACGACCCCATGAAGGCGTACAACAGCGGGTTAATGCAGGCGTGGGTGAGAGCCAGGCTTTCTGTCACCTGCATAGCGTGATCCAAGCCCTTGCTGACATCACAGTCGGTCACGAGCATGTAAATGATGTCCATCGCTCGGCAAAGCTTGACTACCGTGTAGGGCAACTGGGTGAGCAGGAATACGGCCACCACAGCCAGGAGGACACGCAGGGCTCGCCACTTTTTCTCTCGTCGGACCGCGACGGCCTTACTCAGCGCCAGTCCCACTCGGCAGTAGCACACCACCATGACCAGGAAAGGTATCACAAATCTCAGGATCACCTCAAGCAGCTCCAGGGAAGCCTTTGCAGGTCGGGCCATGCTATGCGGGTAGATGGCTGTGCAGCTGATCCTGTAATGGGTGTGCTTCACTGTGGAGAAGATAAGTTCAGGAAGGCCGAGAATGCTGGCTATAGTCCACAGCATGAGGCACACCAGGAACCACTGTCTCCTGACTTGGGATCTGGTGCCAGCTCTGCCCGTTGGATTTTTGGTTACAGCGCGGTAGCGATCCACACTGATGCACGTAAGCATCAGCATGCCGCAGCTGAAGTTGGTGCTGTAGAGGAAGGATGTGACCTTGCAGGCTGCTGTGCCCAGCATCCACCCATGGACAGCATCAGCCGCCCAGAAAGGCAGGGTGAAGAGAAGCAGCAGGTCTGAAATGGCAAGGTTGAGGATGCACACATCCGTCAGGGTTCGCAGTTTCAGCCGTGACGTGTAAACCACCACTACCAAGGCGTTTCCCGCCAGGCCTACTATCAGAGCCAGGGCATAGATGACCGGAAGGAAAACGCCGGCAAAGGAACGCACTGTTTCCTTGTCACAGATGGTGTGTTCATAATTGTAGTCGTAAGTTTCATTTGAATCATCGTCGTGGTGATAGTCAAAGTCGGCCATACTTTTTCTGTGGGAAAAAAATACAAGAGAAAGAAAGAGAAACATTTCTTTAAAAGCTCCACCTTTTTAGTTGGTAATGCTGTGGTACAGTTTACTCTGAGTACTAACAATTCAGTTCTTGCCCATCATTAACATGTATGGCATCATTTAACAGAACAAGAACGAACTGCCAGGCCCCCCCCCCACCAACCCCTTTTTTTCTTTTCTTTTTTTTGTACCAGGAACAGGAAAGGCGAGTTCTTTGTGTGTTCTGCATCAGAGGAATCTTTCCTGCATGGTTTCCCTAATGGCTTTAGCTCAGCCTGTCAGAAATGAGCGTGTGGGCTTGAATAAACACCAGTAGGGGAAAAAAGAGCGACAATAGAGTTACACATCTTCTAGTGAAGTTTTTGAATTGAATTACTTTGTATTCCAGTGGGTGCTGAGTGATCTACACACTCCAGAAAATGGTAGCTTTTGATTTGCTAATCCTTTAATTACAGGGAAAAATATGTTCTGCAAACTAATGATGTCTATTATGCAATGCACAGGACTTTTTTTTTTTTTTGGAGCTTGTTAACACCAATCCAATTTCTGGTCTTTTTTAAAAGTTTAGTCAGGAGGAAGTATGCGGAGAAAGACCTGAGGATGTCATGCAAGTGCGGGATCTTTTTCTTTCACATTAAAATCCAGGATGTTGGTTTTTACTGTATGTGGCATTTGCTGGTTCAACAGGATGTCCCATTGATGTGACTCTTTCATTCAGACCCATTGTTGTGTTAGCCAAGCTGTTCCCTGCCAGTAAGGATCTCACTCAAGGATTAGAAAGTGGAATACTGTGCCTGCGTGGATACTTTTACTGTCACAAATAGATACTTTTTTTCTGTTAGATCCAATAATCCCTTGAAAAAATTAACTGAGCTCCATGGACAGATTTTGCATTGTTCCCCTGTAGAGAAACCATAAATCCCTTTTCATTCAGGTTTTTGTTCATTTCCTGAGGAAGAACAATTGAGGAAAGTGCGAACTCCGAACAGCAAAACATATTACGTGGCGGATGATGTAACGTCTGGCTGAGGACCAAGAGGTGATGCATTGAATATTTTGCACGTCAAGAGCATTTTTGGCAACTCACACTTGTTACAAAGATGACAGCAATCCCTTAACGAGCCATATAACAAGTGTCTCTTTTCTGAATTGGGAGTAGTAGTTACTGAAGTAGATGTTCACTGGAACGTTCAGAAAAAATGTCAAATATTGACTTTTGGCAACAGATGGGCTTCGTGTGTCAGCTGGGTTTTTTTCTGATTTTTTTGTTTGTTTGTTTTCACAGCAGCTATTTGACTGTTTGGGTTTCACTAGTCAAATTAATTTAAAACGATTAAAATGATTTTATTATCAATTATATGTGTACTGCACATACATGTAGAATAAAATGAATTAAGAAAATGGAAAAAAGATAAAAGGACACTCCAGGGAGGATATTTTAAAAAATGGAACCTATGCACAGTAGTGGCATTAGTGCAAATAAAGTAATGGAAGATGATGTAAATGGACATATAATAGATATACAAAATATTATAAATAAATAGAGCAGCTTATAATATATACATACAATAGCAGGTATGACACTAGGATATACATCTACAAATACATAGAAAATGTATTTAGGTGAAAACTTTTGTAGTTGAGTTAAGTTGTCAATATTGTTTTGGTAACATACATAACATACATGTGATACATCACATAATGATATCGCAAATGCAGGTGATTTTATTGTTGTATAAAGAGCCCTCGATCGAAAATATATGAATATTTTTCAGTCATTTTTCTGCATGCTCTGCTCAAAGGTGTCGAACACGGGCATGGGAGTGGCATTATTGTGTACACCTTCTATGAATTTGTGCATTTTATAATCTTTAGTTAAGCAAAATCTATGACACAAAAGTTGATATAGTCCAACAATGCTTATAGTAATAATGATATACTACCTGTATTTAGGTAGAAGAGTAAGAGAACAGTTTGTTTACAAAGAGCTATGCGCTCAGGAGAAAAGCAGAGCAACACAAACCTAACACAACAGTGTTAATGAGGTAATATAAAGAAGCTTAGTCATAAAATATACTAAGCAGGACTTTGACTGTGAGTCAAAGACTAAAGTTACCCGTTCACTAAGTAAAACAACAATGCACCACATATCTCTGTGTATAATAAGTATATGTAAAATGTAGCTATGTATTTAATGATGTAGTTTAAAGATTTAAAAGTGTAATATTATTTAAAAAAAACCCCAAAAGCTCAAGGAAGGAATATGAGGAGTATATCTCTTGTCAGCATACGTTACACTAAAGGGTATGAAAGAAAAGTCAAAAATGCTCTTACCGTGTTTCTGTTCCTGTCCAAGAACCGTAAAGTTAACACTGATCCGTTTATTGTTGTGTATTCTGAGGAAAAAGGTTGCATGCACTCTGGCACTGCAGTGACTAATCTCTGCTTCAGCCAACCCCACTCCCTTCACTTCTGACACTGTAGGAGCGTGTCCCTTCACCACGTAACACAGACGTAGCATTTGTCAGTGTGAGTGCATGTGCGCACGCACGTGTGTGTGTGTTTGAGTGTGGTTCAGGTTCAAGGAGAAATGTCTAAGACGAATACAAATTCCTTGAGTCGTCTGTTTTCTTATGCTGTGCTGTGCAATGCACCATATAAAGAGAGGCTGTTTTACACACAGGGAGTTCCTGTTGGTGGTTGTCCTTTTCTTTTCTTTTCTTTTTTTTGTACATACTTCACCGGCCTCATTCCTAGTAGCAGCAGCTTTGGTAATTTGAAATATACAAGTGAAACTAGAGTAATGTTTTGTTTTTTTTTTCTACTATTTCCTTATTTCTGCTTCCTCAGAAACGTTCGGCTATTTTTTGACTCTCCCACACTCTTATAAATATATCAAACAAAAATATACAAGACAATTGGATTTGGGCCAGAAATAAATAATGAAATGTATTCATAAAAATTCCAGTCAGACAAAGAAAAGGAACATTAGTTTTCATTAGAGGAGAAAAGGGGCCTTTAGCTATGTTAAAATTGCATATTGACTTGATTTCTTTCTTTTTTCTTTTTTTTTTTTTCCAGAAAAATCAACTGCATAGCATTCTGTCACGAAGTCTAATTACTGGGTTGGGAAGGTTTAAATTCATACCAGGAATGATATGACATGCATGGGCATGCTTTGGATCATGGACCCTTATGTATGGGTTCACAGGAAAACCTCACCTGCCTCTGGGCCAAACGGGCTTTCCTAAATGTGGTTTATGGGTGGTGTCTGCTGTAAAGTTCGTGTTCTTTGCTACAGTCTGAGAATAATCAGTTACTGTTTGTTTGCGTTTCTGTAGCCAGAGAGTAAATGCAAAACCTCAACCCCTGTCAAATCAAGTTTAAGAATTCACATGCTCTCACGCGTGGCTTTCGTGTTGTGAGAGCTCTTAAACTAAAGATGTCTGCTGCTGTCTGGTGTCCATATGTCCTGTCTGGAGGGGACAGTTCTGCCAGCTGAACCAAAACCTAAACAGGAAGGCGACGCCATCAGTTGGTCACCCTGTTTGTGCCCTTAGGGTTTGTCTCAAAGTGGACTCTCAACCAGGGAAATTCCAAAGGATTCTGCAATTGCTCCTTCACGCAGATAGGGCACATTTCACATTGCCGCTGTCACCACTTTTGTAATATCTTGTTTAGAGGATCTCTATGATGTATTATCTGCTCATTGAAGTAATAAAGTTACTGTATTTGAGGAGAGGAAAAAAAAAGACTAACTCAGGAAACCGGGTGTCATCATTCACATTATTAAGCAGCCACATGGTTGCCACATCCGTGACAGCAAAATTCACAGTTTCCGGCCGCAATAGGGGTCATGGAATGGTTAAGGACGGAGGCAGTCGCTGAAAAGTTACCAGCCCCATTGTTTTATAGCACCAGAAAGCAACGTAACCTGAATGTAAATGACCCACAGGATTTTTGCCTTGTCCCGCCAGGTGCCGGCAATCCCCAGTGCAAAGTGGCCATTGTCATGTGCAGGAGCGGCATTCGGGATGAAAAAATCAGGTCAGCAGAACAGCTATGTGAAATATACGTCCATGTTTCTTTGTGGGAACAAACACGCAAAGATTTGTTTCTGCCTTTTTTCCAGAGATTTCTGATGTCATGTTTTTCACCACAACAACAGGATTTTTATTAGTATTGTTCATTTCTAGTTTTGGTTTTATGTGAGATTGTTTTGTGTGTTCCTTTGAACTTTTTTTTAAGAAGCCATTTGTCCCACTAGACTTCTTCTGTTTCTGCTGCCAATATAACTGAAATGGACTTTGCTTAGAGACACAGCCTACTTCCCAGCATGCCCCTTAGCACCGGTCTAGCTTTCTGCCCTGATGTTTGTATAACACATAGGGGGGAAAAAAGTCAGTCTAATGTTGATGCTTGTGTGTGTTAAATTTTGCTTAAAGTTTAATTGGCATAATTTAGGATATTAATTAAAAGAAATTCCTAACAACCACACCCAGAATATAATAACTCTTCTCCTTGGTACACACCCTTGCTTGCAATGAATGGAGATTCCCATCAGTATCATATTTATAGCTGCGTGAAAAACCTGTGAAAATGGCAACTGTGCTCAAAGTATAATTCCATCACATGCTTCGGCTGTAAACCTGTCTTATAGGCACAGCCAGCACAGTATGATCCTCGTACCTATGAACACAGCAGGTGTAAAGCTCATCAGACCACTCACTGTGTTCGGTCAGGATGGTAAGTTAATGATATCATCTGTCCTTGTTTATTTTTCCCACAGTATGGGCGTGCAGAGATGACATCTGAGCTTTCCTGACACGATTTAATCCTTGTATCTGTTCTCAGATGCGATCCATGGTGGCCACTTTGAAGTGCATTTTGAAAATGTGCGCGTACCCGCCTCCAGCATTATTCTAGGTAAAAGCCTTTATTGTTTTGTCTATATTCCCAAGAAACGGAATATGTTTGAACGATAAAGCAGTGTTGCCTTGACATTTTGTGAATGAGATAATTACGGCCTCCTCTGTTATTTCTCTTTCTGTGTTACACTGTTGTGGTTTCCAGGGGAGGGCAGGGGATTTGAGATTGCCCAAGGTCGCCTGGGGCCAGGCAGGCTGCACCACTGTATGAGAGCTGTCGGACTAGCAGAGTTGGCATTGGAGCTACTCTGCCAGCGGGCTGCCACCAGACACACCTTTGGAAAACAACTGTACCAGCATGTGAGTGAAGCTGTATCTGAAGGAGAGGTTCTCAGAGCTTTGATGGCTTTCTGCCAGTTTTGGGGTGGCAGCATACAGGAGAAGAAAAATATCAGGAAATGGGGTTTATAATTGCAAATTTTGTGCGTTTTATAGCAAGTTAAATTCATTTCTGTATTTGCCAGCATTGGGAATGTTTATTCTGCCTAAATAGAAGATATATGAATGACATGTACAGTATTGCAAAGAGAGAACCCAAGAGATATGCCAGATTTAAATCTTGGGGCTGTGGCAGTATGTGCTGAGAGATGACCTACTGTTGACACCTAGTGGACGGCTTTTTAGATGCAGCTTGATGGATCTCTGTGTTATCTGTTGTCCAGGAAGTTATTGCTCATTGGATAGCAGAGTGCCGTCTCATGATAGAGCAGACTCGCCTGCTGACTCTCAATGCTGCTCATGCACTGGATACACTAGGCAGTCGGGCAGCTCGTAAGGAGGTAAAACTATTTTTGACCCTCACATTTAAAAAAAACCAAACAAACACATATAAATGTCCTGATATCTTACTTGGGATGGACAATAACATTGTATTTCTAAAACCAATGGTTTCTCTGTTGCATTATGGATTTTTTTTTTTTTTGAAAGTCATTTTTATCATGACATACACTATATTGTCAAAAGTATTCAATCACTTCCCTTTACACATATGAACTTGAGTGACATCCCACAATAGAGGTGTTTATGGGAATTTTTGACCACTCTTCCGGAAGTCCATTTGTGAATTCCAGTAAAGTTCTTCTGCACCAAACTCGCTAATCCATGTCTTTATGACCTATCTTTGTGCACTGGTGCGCAATCATGAACAGGAAAGGGACATCCCAAAACTCACACAAAGTTGGGAGCTGGAAATTGTCCAAAATGTCTTGGTATGCTAAAGCATTGAGTTCCTTTCATTGGAACTAAGGCGCCCTAATCCCCCCTCCTCCAAACTTTACAGTTGTCACAATGCAGTCAGACAAGTACTGTTCTCCTGGCAACCACCAAATCCGGACTCATCCATCAGATTCCAGACACTCCAGATCAGTCCAGTCATCACTCAATAACTCCAAAGACCAACCTCGCCACTGCTCTTGCACTGGCAGCGTGTTTTACACCACTGCATCCGACACTTTGCATTGTGCTTGGTGATCCAAGGCCTGAATCCAGCTGCTCTGCCATGGAAACCCATTCAATGAAGCTCTCTAGACACTGTTCCTAAGCTAATTTGGAGGCCACATGAAGTTTGGAGGTCTGTAGCGATTAACTTTACAGAAAGTTGGCAACTTCAGCCTCTGCTGACCCTGCTCTGTTTTTTTGGTTTTTTTTACATGGCCTTCCACTTTGTGGCTGAGTGGTCATTCCCAGTCGCTTCCACTTTATTATAATACAACTAACAGTTGACTATGGAAGAGTCAATAGCTCAGAATTACACAAATTGACTTGTTGCACAGCTGGCATCCTATTACTGGACCACACTAGAATTGATTTGAGCTCCTGAGAGCGACCCATTCATTCATAAATGTTTGTAGAAGCAGTCTGCACGACTAGGTGCATGATTTTATACACCTATGGCTATGGAAGTGATTCAAACACCTGAATTCAATGATTTCGATAGATCAGTGAATACTTTTGGCAATATAGCATATGCAATTCCAGCTTGAAATCACTGTGGGATGGAATTGGGAAAGGGCTGTGGTCTTTTGAACTCTAACATTTATCTTTATCACTGCCTACTAGATTGCTATGATCAAGGTTGCAGCAGGAAGAATGGCCTGCAAGGTGGTGGACATAGCCATACAGGTATATGGTGGTGCAGGTGTGTCTGGAGACGTTCCACTAGCACAGATGTAAGTTTGGACCCGTCCCAACACATAAATGGGTATTTGATAAATGCCTTCCATGATGCCAATATTACATTTGTCTTCAGGTACTCGTATGTGCGGACTCTGCGCATCGCTGATGGACCAGATGAGGTGCACCTCTCCTCTATAGCCTATTTGGAACTCAGAGATCAACTAAAGAAGGCACAGGCAAAGCTCTAAAAACATGGCCACAGCTTCATTACACTGCAGTAAACTATTACTGCCCCGATAAGCATTTTTGGCCCTAAAGTGAGATTGCTTGATTTTTATTCACTATTTGCAAAAACACTGAAATGAAAAACCTTACTAAACATACTACCTGTAAAGAAGCACCCTTCCATATGTGCCAGATGAAAATCAAATAAAACATGATTAAAGTGTCTGCCTCAGCTCTTTGTTTAAAAAAAAAAAAAAATCACTTGTTTATTAGGAATTATTTTTAATGTGAACTACAAAAACAGAAAATGACAGCATGAATAAGACTATTGTCGTCACACTCTTTACAGGTGTGGTCTACCACATGGATGAATTCCATTTGGAGGTGATGGGGAATCAGGAAACACAAGCACATTATTTATTTTTTTACAATATAAAACAGCAGTGGCGCCATCTATCCGGTACACCAGATGGAAACCCATGCAAAACCCTCCACACTTCATTGTCCTCACTTTAACATCAGGGCAGAAATCTTCAGCTGCCAAATCAGTCAATTTTTATACACATGGCGCAGAGAATAGGAGGGAGGAGTTGGGGAAGAAAAGAAAAAAAAAAGATGTCAGTGTTTACTCTTCTTTGACTTTTTGTGAGATCGATGTGGAGATCTAGATTTGGAGCGGGATTTCTTAGCTGATTTCTTGGGTGTCCTGGAGCGCGACCTCCTGGATCGTTTGGGTGTGCGAGGTGATGACGGTGATCTAAATAAGAAAAGGGCAAAACAAAAAATGGGAATACCCAGAAAAGCAAATATACAATTTGCTGAATATTCAGGTCAAGGACTACATATGTAGCACTTTACTACTCTTAGTGACCACTTCAAGCACATTGAGTATGTTAAAATGTTAACATTAGTAGCGCTTAACACCATCTTACCTCTTGGATGACTTTCTGTTGCTGGATCGAGGAGAGTCTTTATGAGAAGAACGTGAGGATGTGTCTTTAGAGTATGATCGGTCGGAGCGCTCTGATCTTTCTGACCGCTCTGAACGAGGTGAGGACGACCGGCCTCGTCTGCTGCTGCTCCGCGTTGGGCTCGGTGATCCACTGTGACGACGCTTCCTATCAACCGGAGGGGACAAATATCTGTCACACAGGAAATTAAATAAATCCAATGTTCCATGAATGAAAGAAAAAAAAAACCCCTAGATCCACACTTTGAATCACTGAAAGCACGCAGCAACTAAACAAGTGTCTGACCTCTCCTTTCTGGTTGGTGTGTCCTCCTTCTCTTTTTCCTTCTTTAACTCTTTCAACCGTGCCTCAGCTTTTTCCTTCTCTTTCTTTTCCTTCTCTTTTTCCCGCTCCAGTTTTTCTTTTTCTTTTTCCTAAAGGGATCAAAAAAAAAATCTCTTGTTAGGGTTTGATTTTAGTTTTCATGGCATGTAACAATTATAAACCAGTAATAAATGATCAAAAGTGTGCATTTTTCATCCAAACTTTAAGCACACCTGATCCAATACACACCTTTTGTAGTAGTTTGTCCCTATAATGTTCCACCTGCTCCTGAATACTCTGACCAGGCTTCTTAGGTCTTTTCCCAGACTCCAGCTCATCCTGGAACTTCATGACTTTAACCTGCATGGAGAAATACAATCAACTATTGTCGTATACTGCCATGTGCAGTCTGAGATCTGTGGCATTTGTAAAGTACCTCTATCTGGGACTTCCAGTAATGGCGTTTACTGGGTAGACATGTTTTAGGTCCGCTCCGCTACATGGCTCAGCATTTACCTAACGAACCTACTTCTTTGAGATTTTGATTCCCAGTTTTGGATGTCTTTTGCCTTTGTCGACTACCAAAGATCGAAAGAATGTCAAAGTCAAAGGGCAAACAAGACAGAGACCGAGAAACCTCGACACCTGCGGCACCTGTAACTGCAGCCGAGATTAGCTTAATGCTTGAAGAGCATAGAGCTGCATTGCTAGCGGACTTTAAGTCATCCTTTGAGGACTTGTCCTCTAAGTTACACAATGTGCAGTCTGCAGTGCAGGGCCACGGTCAACGCATTAATTCTTTGGAATCGACATACACTGAATTACCCACGCCTGACAGCTTTCGTTTCTCAGCTCATTGTCGATGTTTTCGGAGCGCAGGTGCTTCCCTCGCCGCCCGAGCTGGACAGGGCGCACCAGAGTCCAGTTCCGAAATCGACAAAACCACGGCCGGTTATTCTGTGATTTCACCAGTACCAAATAAAAGACCTGGTAATCCGTGAAGCTTGTAAGAAAGGCGAGCTCAGTTACAATGGCCATAGGATCCGGCTATATGAAGATTACAGCCCGGAGGTGGTGAAGAACCGAGCTGAGTTTAAAGATGCAATGTCTGAACTTTATAAGCGGGGATTTAAACCTGCGCTCCTCTTCCCGGCTAAACTGCGCATCGTTCTGCCCACCGGGGAGAAAAAGTGTTTTACGTCTGTTTCAGAAGCCGATAGTTCGTGCAGGGTTTGAGGAACAAAGCTGAAGCTCAAAGGCCACAGTGACTGACAGCTGCGAGTAAAGTGACTTGAATCCTTGTCGACTTACAAGCACTCGGACAATTACAGAGAAGGCAGGCAAGCACTGTATATCTGTTATTTCATGGTAATACTAGTTGTCACCGTTTTAACACCTGGTTCTTATGTTTCTTTTGTAATATTTTGAATTAATGTCCACTGATCCCTAGAAGGTTTGATTTATATTGAGATATACACTTAGTACTTCAAAGTTAAGGTTGTATGGAGTTTCTATGTAGCAGGAGTTTGGGCTAGGAGGTTGAAGTTGTTGGGAATATACTGCGGTCACCTTAGTTCAGAAATGGGACCTAGTGGGTGGGGTGGGGGGAACTATACATCAATACAGATGTAGCTTTTCTCCAGGAGACTCATTTGCGAGTCAAAGATCATAAAAGACTTAAACCTCCATGGATAGGTCATATGTTTCACTCAAACTTTGATATTAGAGCCAGAGGAGTGGCAATCTTAATTAGGAATAAAATACATTTTTCTCTCATTAAATTGAACAAAAATGGACGATATCTAATTGTTGTAGGGACCCTCGTGAATAACCCAGTTGTTTTAGTCAACGTCTATGCCCCAAACTTTGACAACGCTCTGTTTGCTAATAATCTTTTGAGGATGATTCGACTTAAATACGCACCTCCTGATCTTCGGAGGTGATTTAAACTGCGTTATTGACCCAGCTTTAGACAAATCTGCCACTGGCTCTAAAGCATCATCTGCTATGTCCAGGGCTTTCTCACACTTTATGACCCAAAATGGATACATTGATCCTTAAAGGCCACAGAGAATACTCCTTTTTTTCAAATGTTCATCACACATATTCTCGCATCGATTACTTTTTTATAAATGGCTCCATGGCTTCTAAAGTTTGCAACTCTGAATATCTTCCGATTGTTATATCTGATCATGCTCCATTAGCCCTGGATATGGCCTTGTCTCCTGGCTATAGACCTCAGCATCCATGGAGGTTGAACTCTCTACTCTTGTCTGATTCAGCTTTCTGTGACTATATCTCATCTGCAATTGATAATTTCTTAACTACAAATGAGTCTGAGGATGTCTCAAATTCTCTACTATGGGAAACTCTTAAAGCATACCTCAGAGGCCAAATTATTTCCTATTTATCTCACCTATCTAAATCAAAGAAAGCTAAGCAAAATGAACTTTCTGCCAAAATTCAAGCTCTAGACCGGCAACACGCTCAAACTCCCTCACCTGAAATATATAAGCAGCGTCTTAACCTACAATCTGAGTTCAGTCTCCTGTCGACCCATGATGCAGAACAATTGTTATTACAGTCCCATGGCAACTATTATGAACATGGTGATAAAGCCTCTCGTCTGCTAGCCCACCAGCTACGTCACCAATCGGCATCTTGCCAAATTTTCCAAATTAAAAATGAATCAGGAACTTTGACTTCTGATCCAACGGAAATCAACTTATCATTTTATAGTTCTCTGTATACATCAGAGTTCACCTCTAATTCTATAGATATGAACCAGTTTCTTAACAAATACGATACCCCTACAATTAAACCCTCAACAGCAGCAGAAATTGATGCACCGCTCACTTTGGATGAGGTTATATCATCAATCACATCCTTACAGTCTGGAAAGTCCCCTGGTCTCGATGGGTTCCCCGCCAAATTTTATAAAAAAATTCCACTTAAAACCGGCCCCTTTGCTGCTGTCGGTTTTTGAGGAGTCACTGAAACGCGTCTCTCTCCCTCAGACACTGAGACAGGCTTCTATCTCATTACTGAATAAAAAAGGAAAGGATCCTACTTGTTGTAGCTCCTATCAACCAATAAGCCTTCTTAATGTAGACTTTAAAATCTTATCAAAACGGATTTTCATCCCTTCCAGTTTCCCTGTTACAATTCACAGACAACCCTGTTCTAATTGGCTCTTTAAAAATAGGGTATCAATTCCGGCATCACTTCAATTCAGTCTCTGCTTCTGCTCTGACCCCAATCTGCAACAACCACCTCTTCCCCCCATCCCTGGTGGACTCCTCCTTCCGTATATGGGCAAGAAAAGGTATCAAATGTTTTTATGACTTTTTTAAAGATAACATTTTTCTCAGTTTTAGTGACCTTTGTACTTTGTATGATTTGCCCTCGTATCATTTGCTCCACTACTTTCAAATAAGACACTGTGCATCTTCTATCTTGCCAGAGTTTCCAAGTCAGCCTCTCAAGCCTTGATGGGAAGACTTATTCCAGTTGAAGCCTCACAGTAAGGCTCTAATATCACAAATATATGCTTTAATTATGGCATCGGGCAATTACTCAACCAAGAAAATTGCTTCGAGTTGGGAACAGGAACTGGGTCTTCAATTTGTTGAAGGTTACTGGGACAAAGTAATTGAAAAAATTCATTCCTCAGCCTCATGTGCAAGACTCTCCCTTATTCAGTTTAAGACGGTATACAGATTACACTTCTCAAGATCTAGACTATCTAAAATATACCCCGGCATTCCTGACCTGTGCAACAGATGCAACGTCTCCCCCTGCGATTTAACTCGTGTTTTTTGCCTGCCCGTCACTTCAATTATACTGGACTTCTTACTTACACTGAAGTGCTCTCTCATGTTTTGAGCATTACTCTCAAACCATGCCCACTAGTTGCCATTTTTGGTGTTTCTGAAGATGCCACCCTAAACCTTAGTCGTAAACAACTGGATATTATCGCTTTCACTTCACTGCTGGCACGACGTCGAATTTTGCTGTCTTGGAAAGCTCCTCACCCTCCAGCCCGATCACGTTGGCTGGAAGATGTTATGTTCTTTTTAAAAATGGAGAAAATAAAATTCAGACTCAGAGGAAATGTTAATAAGTTCT